AGCACCCACCACAGCACCCAGCCAGCACCCACTCAGCACCCACTCAGTACGCACCCCCAGCACCCACTCAGCACCCACACCCAGCCCCCCTGCAGCACTCACCCAGCCCCCTGCAGCCCCCTGCAGCAGCGGGCCCAGCGGCGTTGGCAGCAGGTCAGTCCAGCAGAGATGCCCTCCCCTCCAGGCTCCGTGCTGGGGAACAGGATGGTCCCGTGCTCTGATCCCCTGCAGCAGCTCCAGCTCAGGGCTCCAGGACACTCCTGTCTGGGCAGGTCCATGGGCAGCTGTGGAGGCTGAGAGAGGGCAGTGGTTGGAATGGCTGACCTTTGAAGGCCCCTTCGGACCCAAAGTATTCCATGGATGCGGATGCCACATCCCTGGAAGTGCCCAAGGCCGGTTGGGTGGGGCCCTGAGCACCTGCACTGGGGGATGGCATCCCTGCCCAAGGCAGGGCAGTGGAACTGGGTGATCTTTAGGTCCCTTCCAACCCAAACCATTCCATGATTCTACACCTGCAGGACAGCAAGTCCTTCCACTGCAAACCTGGAGGCCTCCCAGTGTTCCCTCCATCCTCACCATGCACGGAAACACAGAGCGAGGATTTCCCCGAGCAGAGAACAATTCTGGAGCCACATCATCAAGTTTTAAAGCCCTTTCTCTGCCCCTTTATTGGTTTCTTTTAACATTTTGCACATTCAGAGTTCCTGCTGACTCCACACTCTGCTCCCTGTTCCCAGCACGCTCCGAGAGGAGCTGCCAGACAGGTTGGAGAGGGCGGATTAGACACTGCTGACAGTACCGAGAAATCCTCATTTATACCTTGCCATGGCAAGAACAGGATGGTCTCAGGGAAATCACTCCAATAATTCCTTGGAGATTGCTCTGAGCTTTGTTATCCAAAGCAAAAGGCCACCTTAAGTGCAATTTTGTGCCTTGGGAATAGCCAATACTGGGACTGTCTTTGCCAGGCAGAGTTTATGGAAATAGGGAATGGACTTGCAGGTGGGATTCCCTGCATGGCAGCTCCACAACTTAAGGCAGAAATACTGGATCTAGGAATAGGAATTGTCTGATGGCTGCAGGGTTTGGCCCTGTTTGGTTAGATTTTCATCTTATCTGGATTTGGGGAATTTCTGTGACATAAAATTTTAAAAAGAAAGGGGGAGTTGGAAATATCCAGGTGTGCTCCAGGGAACGTGCTGGGAGGGCTCCTGGGTGCCAGTGATCCCAGCACATCCCAGGCAGGGTTGCTGCTCCCAAGGCAGCGACCGTGTCCCACCCTCTGGCAATTTCTCTTTATTCCTTGTCATTTTATAAATGCTTAACGTGCTATTTGTCTTTATTCCTTATTATTTCCTATATGATTAATACGTGTGAGCAGAGCAGCTTTGGGGGCCGGATTATTCCGGCAATCACTGGAAAGCAAATCCCATTAGGTTCCCCCGAGTTGTGCCACACATCTGACAGGGCTATCTGGCAGCACATCTCCCTCCTAGGAGGGATCTCTGCTCCCCTGGAAGCTGGAGTGAAACTTAATCGGGAATTACACCCTCTAAATACCCACGGAGGAGAGAGTGGACTTTTCTACCCGGGCTGGCATCCCAAAGCCCTTAATCTTCTTAGGTAGTGAGGGAAAGCCGTGGAGATGAGGGGGTAGCTCACCAAGGGGGAAAGCGGCTGGAGGAAAACTCTGGCTCTTCCTCCACTTATCCCATTCTCCACTTAATTCCCCTTCCCAAGGATTTTTTAGCCCCCCACTCTCCATTGACAACCTGCTGGAAAGAGCAAAGCAGCTCCCAGCAGCCAGCAGAGGAGGCCCTTCCTTTCCTTTTTCCCATTTAATTAATTCCACGAGGACAGGAGGCAGCCCTGGGAGTGCCAGTGCAGGGCAGCAGGTGGATCGTGAGGCAGAGCAGGAATGTGGTGGGAGATCCCACGGGAGATCCCAGCAGTGCTCTGGGTTAAGGAGTGAGTGGCACTTCCCACAGGGCCTGGCAGGTCTGAGCCCGTGGATGAGGAGCAGTGTGTGGAGATGCCCCCGGAGCCCCGGGCACCTCATCCTCCCCTGCACAGTCTCTCCTGGACGCTGATAATTCCACCCTGGATGGATTTAGCAGGAAATCTGCAGAACAGCTACATCTGCTTGGCAGCTGTGGCAGCCTGGGATAGGCACAGAAATCCCACCTTCCACCTTGATTTTCAGTCAGAGGAGCTGGAATCAACATAAAAATCCCAGTGGGATAAATCTGAAGGGGGCATGGAACAGCTTGGGTTGGAAGGGACCATAAAGATCACCCAACTCCAGCCCCTGCCATGGGCAGGGACACCCTCCACTAGCTCAGGTTGCTCCAAGTGCCATCCAGCCTGGCCTTGGACACTTCCAGGGATGGGGAATCCACAACCTCTCCAGGTAATGACTATGGAGGGTGAGGAAAAATGTTAAAAGCTGGGAAAAAAAAGGAAAAGAAAACTCCAGCTGTGCCTTGTTGGGAAAACTAGAAAGGACACAGCTTCAAGTACTGATTATTTTTATTTAGGAAAACATTATCCAAGGGCCCCTTTCCAAGGAAAGCAATCTGGGTTGTGTCTGGGCTGAGCACACAATGTCATCCCACCGCAAAAAAAGCAAACATGGTACCAGGATGTCTAAACAGGAATGTCATGTGGGACACACATGAAGTAATGCCTCGCTCCAGGATGGGCTCAGCTGGAGAACTGTCCCTGGCCTGGCTACAGCCCTTGGAGAAGCTGTGCAGCCACTGGAGCCGGGCCAGGGAGAGCAGCAAGAACCATCCGAGGGTGAAAAATAAGGACCTGAGAGGGGACATGGAGCCAGTTTGGGCTTGTTCAGCCTGGAAAAGGTGGGAGAAGGAAACGTGCTCTCCAGCAGAGGCAGAGGGAGGCGGTGGATGCTCCCAGTGCCCACCACACACAGGGGAGGTCGTGGCCAGCTGACCACATCCAAACCGGGCATACTGCAAATGAACCCAGAGGATTTATTACCCAACCAAAGAAGAAATGCTGTTCCCTGAGTTTTCCCCTCGTTGTATCCCCATGGCAGAGCGAGGGAGGCCGGAGAGTGCTGTGGGATGAGCCCAGCGTGGAGCTGCCCGATCCCTCCTCCCCACACTGCTGGGAACGAACAGGAATGCGCCGTGTCCCAGCTCCCTGCGGAAGGTTGGATCCCAGGACAGCTGCCCCGGGGAGGAGGGAGTTGGTGCCCTTGCCTGGCTGGACCAGCACTGGAGCTGGCACAGCAGAGCCACCGTAAGCACTTCCAGCCCAGCTGGGGGGAGGTCGGGCAGGCGGGATACCTGCCCAGCCGGGGGCTCTCCGTGGAGCTGCAAGGAGTGGGAAAGGCCAGGATGAGGCAGTGGGAATCAAAGCACTTGTGAGCACTCACAAAGGAGAGAGGGGAGCTGCTCGTGGCCACTGTAAAGCTGGGAAATTACTCCCACCATCAACAGCCTTAATCCTAAGGAAGCCAACTCCGGGGTCACACTGGGGGGAGTTCGACGCTCCGAGCGCTCCTGGAACACTCAGAGGGACAAAGGAATGAACAGGAAGGACGCAGAGAGGAGTTTGGGGTTTGGGAGACCTGCTTTCACATGGGTTTCCATTGCAATTTTGCCTAATTAGTCTCCAATAATTAATGCTGTGAGTGCAACAGAGATGGAATCAGACAAAATGCCGGTGAGGAAACCCCATGGAAGCCATCCGTCTTTGGGTAGTAATGATTATGTTCTTTTTTATTATTAAAGATCCCATTAGAAAGAATTTATGATTTTTCCCCTTTGTGAGAGAAATAATCAACATTCCGTTGGCTGCTCCCAGTTTTGGTGCCGAGCAGCCGCGGATCCGTAATTAGCCACAGTTAAAAAGAAATTTTGCCTGATTGGCTTTTGGGGAACATTATTTCCAAATTACAGCCCCGCCGATTTATTTCCAGGGAAAATACACTCCCAATAAATAACTCAAATACAGTTGGTCTGAAAAAACATTTGGATCCAGAAGAAAACACGCAGGGAAGGGAAATGACAGCGCTGAGGGTGAGGGAGGGCTGTGCCAGGGGCTGGGTGCAGATTCCATCCACGTTTCCATTCGGGATGTGACCGGGATGAGCTGCTGTGTGTTTGTTCACATAAGTGATCCCACAAGAGTTTGGGCCGCTTTTGAGAGCCCCAAAAGCCACCAGGAGGGACACAAGCAAGGTGTGCTCTTGGCCACCTGGCAGGAGGTGTTCCGCCTGGGAATGCCGTGGATCACACCATGGAACAGGGACACCTGTCCCAACCGGCAGGACCTGCCCCCTCCTGCACAGAACTGCTGCTGAGGCTCAGCCACACACCCCGAAAGCACAGCACTGAAACTCCTGCTGAGGAAAGGAATGAGACGGGGGATGAGGTAGGGAATGAGCCAGGGATGATGAAGAAGGGAATGAGATGGGGGATGACATGGAAAGCCCGGGAACAGGTCCGTGAGCAAGCTCTGGAATTTAACAGAACACAAGCAGAGCCACAGCCAGGGAAATCTCAGGTCAACTCAGCAATGGGCTCCTGTGTTCTGGACCAGCTCCAAGCTGGGAGAGGACATGGATGGCTCCCACTGCTCCCAGGCGTGGAGGAAAGTCACATCAAGGAACTCTCCATGGATCACAAAAAAAGCAGTGGCTCCAAACTCCCATCCTGTCAGCACTGGGAAACAGGAAAGAGGAACAACGTGGTGATAACAGTGACCTCTCCCAGAGCCAGACCTGCGTTCCCAGGGTGGGGAGGGGATGTTCCAGCAGAAGCAAAGCCAGTGTCTCTCAGGCATTCCCAGATCTATCACTGCCCCAGGCCTGCCCTGAGCGGGCAAAGCTGCACCATTCCCCCATGGAATGAGGTGGGCTTTGAGGTCCTTCCCTCAACCCCCAGCATTCCATGGTTGCAAGGCCAGCAGCAGCGAGCAGCACAGCTCTGTGAGCTCCACGGCTCCTCCACCTGCCTGTCTGCCCAGACAGTGCTGGCATTCCCGAGCCTGTTGCCGATCCGGTTCTGTCCGGATATAAACAGGATATTTTCCTGGGACTGTGCCGTTCCAGCTCAAGGTGCAGCTTCATCCCTTCCATGGGTGCC